ACGGACAGGGATACTTCTCATGCGCGGTACGGATGGATGCTCGTCTGACAGCTCTACTTACTGATGTCGCATCGGTCGACCACCGATGTGTGTGTCTTGGTGTGCAGGATGACAGCACCGTCTATGAGGGCGAGTGGGCTAACGGCCGCAAGGAGGGACGGTGAGTGAATGCACCCACCCACTCCCTACCCTATCGCTTTGTGATGTGATGTGATGTGCTGCCCGCCATCCCACTCCACAGCGGCATCCTGAAGCTAGCCACGGGCCACACCCTCCAGGGCACCTGGCGCCAGGGAGAAGTCGTCAAGGTCGATGTAAGCCTACCCACACACAGACACAGATAAGACACAGAGGCTCGTTTACGCATCACCCATGTGTGTGTGTGTGTGTGTGTGTAGGAGTTCCGGTTCCCGTCCGACTCACCCTGGGTCAATCCGGTACGGACAGCGAAGGAGTGGAGAGGAGCGCCGGCATGTATCCGTGTGTGTGGTGTGTGTGTGTGCAGGACCTGTGAGGAGTGCCGCCAACTGATAGCAGCTGTTGGCGGGCGGTGGAGATACGGATAGATAGACAGACAGATGGATGGACACCGATGGATGGATTGACGGGGGCAGCCGGCCGTAGACCCTCTCCTCTCTGCTGGTTTTCCTTGCCATGCCTTTCCTTGTCTTGCCTTGTTTTGCCTTGTCTGGTCTGACCTCTGCTCTCATCTCCTGTCGTCTCTGTGTTGATATGATGTGCCCACTGACTTGACCACTCACCTCTCTCCGTGCCTGTGTGAATGGATGAATGGATGGATGGATGGATGCGTACGATCGTTCGGTTCCTTTCACGCCACTCTCTCTCTCTCTCTCTCTGAGCCAGGGACTAGCTAGCCACACACAGCTGCCTGCACGGCACGCACCAGCGAGAGAACAGATGGATGGATGGACTAATGGATGATGAGAGGGTGGTGATTATCATGCTGACATGGCGTGCCGTGCCATGACACGCACACTCACACACACAGATAGACATGAATAATGGCATTGTCTCTGTGTCCGTTTTGTAAGCGAATATATATAGTGTGCACACCTGCCGTGCGTCCATCTATGTGCGCGGGGTGCGTGTGGACGCGTGCAGTGCAGTACCTGTGCGTGCTTTTGTTTGTGTGCGCCGCTCACCTCACCTCACCTACCTGCAGGCAGACACCGACTGACATACACGCACCCAGGACCACACGCACACGCACACGTGCCACGTGCAAGTGCATAAGTATCTTATTATCGGGTGGGGGGGAGGGGAGGGGAGGGGGGTGGGTAATGTACGCATTCTGCCTGACTGTCTGACTGACTGACTGACTTGTCCGGCTGAAATGAATGAGTGAATGAATGGTTATTTATATCTCTTTGTCCGTCCCTCCCTCTGTCCGTCCGTATGCCCGCCCAGCCCACCCGCCCCATTCGTGATCGATCGCACCACCACTCTCTCACCCATTCCTTCGATTTGGACGATTTGGACGCTTTGGACGCGTTGGGTATGTTGTCATGCATACGAAGTTTGCCTATGACACTCACTCCACTCACTCGCTCGCCCACTCACCTACCCTCTCACTTGCATGATATGCTGCATGAATGGATACGTTCGTACACACACACCCATTCATGCATACGTATACGTATACATACACTTTCTGCGGATGCGTGCGTACAGTACGTCACATAACATTACGTACGATCGCGATTGCATTCCTTGCTCGGTCGGTCGTGCCTCGGTGCTCGGTCGAGGTAGGCAGACAGACAGACAGACGGACTCTCCGCTAGCTAGCTTCTACATACAAACGTGGACACCCACCAAATGCGTGCATGCGTGAAGACCTGCCTGCAACACGTGTCTCCCGGCCGGCGCGACACAAGAAGACCCTATCATGCACATCACATCACGCCAGCCAAATCATCGCCACCGGGCCAATGAGAATCTCTTCTGCCGCTTCTCTGCTTCCACTCAAGCGGCAGAGCGACGAGGATTCTTGATGCAGTCCCTCCCGTGCACCTGAACCGGTCCATCCCGATTCATCCGTCGAGTTGGTGTGCCTTGGCGGTGGCAGGCGGCACGTGTCTGATGGTGAGAGAGATCCGCCCACTCTCACTCCGAGCAACACTCGTACCTGAAGGAAAGGATCAAAGAATGGACACCCAAGCAGGCACATCACTTCCCCGCCGTTTCCCAGCTGAGCTGACCGTGAGTGTGCGGGTCGGTGTTGAGGACGCTCTCATCGATGACGTCGGCAGCCACGGCGCATATACCCTAATGAACGGATGGACAGATGGCCAAGCACCAGCCATGCACGAGAGTGATCCCCCCCCCCCTCCCTCCCGCGTGCACACAAACAGGCGCGCGTACGTGCAGGTAGTCAGTGTATGCCGCGCCGTCGAATATCAAGAGGCTCCTGGGCCTGCCCGACACAAACCGACCGGCAAACAGACAGAAAGGCCATCTCACGTACGCGGGGATGTGCCGTGCGGGACAGCAGCTCACTTCCTTACGGCAGGAACACGCGGCACACGACGGTCTCTGTCGATGGACGATCACCACATTCACCAGATGTGCTCATGCCGCTGCGCGGGCGGTGGAAGTCCATCACGGCAGACGACGACAGCGACAGGATGCTCACGCGCGGCCAGTAGGCTGCGCCGTCTTTGTGGGGGAAGATGCCGCTCTCTGGGCTGATGTAGTCATTGATGAGCACGTGGTTGGGTGTGTGTGAGGGGGGATACACGCCCTGGGCCACCAGTCGGTCGCTGAGGGCCTGCAGCCACTGGGGGAGGGCCTCCTGATCCGCAAGACCATCACTGGTCACCGTGCCTGTGGGCGCACACACACAAAGGTCGACAAGTGCGTCAGGTCAGTATGTGTGCTTCTCTCTGCGTACCTCCGTAAGCTTGTGTGCTTCTGCCGGTGAGCTTGACAGCCCTGCCCTCTCCCCTCGCCACATTCCTGACGAGCACCTGGCAGTGCAAAGGAAACGCATGGATCAATGAGATCACACACACGCTGATTTCTTGCCAGACTGCTCACCGATTCAGTGTTTCTGTCAATCCAGTCGTTGACGACGCGGATGCTGCTGATCGGCGCGGTGAACACACCTGCGTCACCGCCCTCGGCCGACTGCGTGGCCTCCTCGTTGATGCAGATGGGCTCGACATGGTGCTCCTCGTCATGAGCAGATGGTGCTTCGGCAGATGTGGCTGGTGATTCTCGTGGTAATGACCTGTCCGTCTGCTTCTCTTTCGCCTTGCGGAGCAGCGCCCTCATGCTGGAAGATCTGCGAGCTTAGATGCTTCAGCTCAGAGAAGGCACCCAGGCACATTCGGTAGTGAGCAGCACCGCAAAGGCACTGAAATGGTACACCTTTCATCTCTGCTGTTCATCTTTGTGCAGCTTTCGTGTGTCCAAACGCGGCCCTCCTCTGCACTGCTTGGCCACGGGCAGTGGTGACGTGATGGCATGAATTGCATGGCATCTGATGCGGCCGGCTGTGGCGATGAATATCCTCGAAGTGTCGACTGTGGTTTGGAGGTGCGTCGGTCTCTCATCGGCGGCGCTGGAATGGGGCTGTTCGCTTGCAAGGCATTCAGACGGGGAGAGGTGCTCTGCGAGTACAGCGGCACTGTCCTCACTCTCAGGTGAGAGGGGGAATAATTGGGCAAGAAAAATCCATCCTCTCACATGGGGAGGGTGATGAATGTGTGTGCCTTACGTGTGGTGCAGGCAGCTGCTGCAGCAGAGGGACCGGACTTATGTGATGGGCGGCTTCGGACTCAACGCCCACATCGACGCGGGACCACACCCAGAGGTCTGACAGAAGGAGTGTGTGTGGCACACAACTCATGGTCGCCGTGGTCCAAGGGGCTGGTTGGCTGCGTGGCTCTGCAGGTGTTGGCTCGCTACATCAATGACAACTTCGACAAGAGCAAGATAAACGTCAGATTCAACAAACTCAAGACGCTCAAGTGAGACCGCTCACCAGTCATGCACAGCTGGCCTCTCTATGTGTGTGTGTGTGTGCAGGAGGGCCGAGGTGATAGCTCTTCGCGCCATCGAGCCAGGAGAGGAGCTCTACGCCAGCTACGGACAGGTGAACAACAGCGCCATACACACACACAGGTTGAATGAACACTGTGTGTGTGTGTAGGTGTACTGGCGCGGCTACGAGGCACGCCAGCAGGCCACGGCGGGCACTGCCAAGTGACTGACCATTGGCCATGATGTGGTGGGCTGCTGTTGATGTGTTGCGTGGAGGGTGCGCAACACCCGAGACAAGCACCTCTGTTGATAGAGGGGTCGGGGCACACTGCATGTGGCGCGTGGAAATGACTGTTCGTCGAACGCTGCCTGCTGTCGTACTGCTGCTTCCTGTGTCCATCCTGTCGGTCTGTCCTGTCGGTCCATCTGCAGACCGACATGCAGGCGAGTGTAACATTACGCACGCACCTGTGTGCAGCACACCATACATCTGGCAGTGCAAGAAGGGTGTGTCACTCGAGTGCATGCAAAGTGAGATCGCTGGGGCTTGACGTCAGTTCATCGCAGAACGACGCGAGAATTTGGTGAGGAACATGGCCAGTGCACCCGACCCCGTTGCCACGAGTGAGGCTTCGGCCACTGCCAGAGATAGTGAAGGGAACCGACGAGTCCCGCTGCAAACCTTCCTCCGAGAGAATATGATGCTCATCCTCCTGGGAGCCTTCGCGGCGCGTAAGGCAAAAGGGCAGACGGCTGACCATTCTCCCTTCTCGATGAGTGATGCTCTTCTCCCCCATTACACGTCTGCAGTGACTGACTGGTTCTCCTTCTTGGAGATGCTGATTGACGAGCCGTCCGAGTACACCGTGCCCCCTCAGTGCAAGACCCTCCTGCTCGCGTCTGCCTTCATCTCCACCACCCTGCTGGTCCTCAGGTGGTGGCTGGAGTATCTGCAAGTCAACGCTACTATGGTATGATTGCGGCCAAGATCAATCACGTCTCTCTGGGCAATTGGTGTCATGCGGTGTCTTAGGTGAAGCGAATGAAGCGGCCCTCGAGAGACATCGAAATGGGCGAGCACACAGTGCACTCTCGCCTCATTCAGCCTGGCGTACCATCACAGGCCTCTACACCTCGAGGGCCGTCTACCAAAGCACCCGAGATACCCCGCTTCTACCGACCCGAGCCGCCTCAGTGGCTGGTGAGCATGACCACTTTTTTGGGCAGCATCTCGGTCTGCAATGACAGCATCGACTTGATCAACGTCGTCATTATCCTGCGGACCAATCCAGGAGCCAGCACTATGGGGACACTCATCTGCAATCTCTTTCTGGATCTCCTCAATGCCGTCGCCTCAGCCTATGAGGCCATGGGCTTCGAAGCCTCGCAGCAGCAGCTGGCGCAGGAGACAGACACTCTCAGGGTGCAAAGAAACGCACATCTGATGAAAGCGCTTCCACAATCCTTCGCTACCTCCTGTGGTATGGGAGCGATCAGTGCGGTGTTTGCTGTTTGGTTCCCTGCGCCGCTTTCTTGGCTGTTTTCTGTCTTGTTCTGGCTCCTCGGCGTTGTGTTGCCGGTGGTGCTGGTATCCTTGAGTTTGTTTCCCGACGCTTCAAATTATCACCTTGGCAAGATTCTCGTCGACTACAGCAGGTTGGGTCTCCTACACGTCCTGATTGCCGAGCTTGTCGATGCGACGACTGACTGGATCACATGGTTCACGATCGCGATGGCCAGCGAGAGGGTCCCCACATGGCTCTGGCGTCTCTACCTTCTCTCCCCCTTGACAGGAAGCCTCATGCTTTATCCTTGCCTTGTCGCAATGCTTGAAGCCAAAATCGATGCCAAGACCTATGAGATGACGATATTGAATCGCCTTCTCAACCTAATCTGTGAGGACCTTCTGGGCCTGGTGTGTAACTTCTTCTTCCTCTTCTATCCCACTTACCAGCTGCAGCTGCTCCCCATTGCCAACATCATCCTCACCCTGGCGGTCATTACCTGTCAGCTGATTACAGAAACCAAGGGGCTGGAGCATGCCAAAATGCTAGGACAGGACCGCCTCAGGAATTTAACTGATAAAGGGCTGGAGTGGTTTTCGAATGATGGAGCGGATCCAAACATGGCGTGCGGTGAACCACTTCGGTGCGTATTGATGATCAAGGCAGCCTCCCAACACGCCGATGACCGCTTGGTGCGGAACGATAGAGATGCTCTCCGCATATTCAAATTCGTTGAGCTGCTGTTGGAAGCCGGAGCAGACCCCAATGTCTGCAAGACTCAGGCAGGGGGCTTGGCTGTAGCCCCTTTGGATTTAGCGGTGACGAAAGGCAAACAGAAAATGCTCACGCATGTTGACAAGTGTGTGCGTCTGGGCAGGCATTGCAGCTCGAGCTGAAAGATGTCGCAGCCCTTCTCGCAGCCAACGGAGCTAAGCACTCGAAGGATTACCACAGATACGGCGGCAACACCAACCCGAAAGCCTACACTGCCATTGTAATGCGGTCGAATGCCTTGCAATGGAAGAAAGATATTCACTACGACTTCGATTTTTTTGACAAAGAGCTCGACGATGAAGAGAAAGCATTGAAGGCTGACCTGAAGGCCCTTGCTGATGCGGCCAGGCGAAGGAATTAGACCGGGTATGTGTGTCAAGTCAGACATGTCTCTCGCGGACGATCACTTGGTGCGTCTTGTGCTGTCTCTCCCCATGCAGGCCCACTGAGTGCAGCCCTTTTGGTTGAAAGCCTTCACGGCCATGACGTGACTATGCATGAATCAGTCAGCTGAATGCGACACTCAACAATACCTCCAACGATACCTGAAGACGACGAGTTGATTGATTCAGTTTCGCATTTGTTCGCTGTCCACATGAAGGCAGTGTGCTGTCACACGAAGGAAGAATCACATCTTGTAAGAGACAACCACACCACCCTCCACACACACCAGCATTCGACCGATCAAGTGAGACACATCGATGGTCACTGCGGAGGTTAAGACAGCCACAGATCTTCTCTCCCACAAGCGCCCCCCACTACACCCCTATATATCCACTTGTATCGCCGCACACACACATATGCACTACAGACGAGTCTGTCTCGTCAAATCTACCCAAAAGCCCGCTACCTTGCCACGTATCTGCCTCTATTGCTCTCTATTGCCCGCTTGCTACAGACCTGAGCGGCAAAATGCCACAGCGACATGGCACGTCTCATGGCTCAGGCTCGCCAGGTTACATCACCACACCGACAAGAACCAAACAAGCCAACGCAGGCACGCCATTAGTGAGCAGCACTCGTCTCATCCCGCCTTCCCTCTCCCCACTCCAGCTACTTCACTGGCAAAATCGACATCTTCACACACAGAGACAAGCGCATGAACACAAAACGGACGGACGACGCACAGAGGGGGCGGCAAGAGGGAAGAACGGAGTCAAGCGTCAGTTGGGTCTCAGTTTTCCACGCATTCCAAAGTATGACTTTCACGTTATGAGACGGATACGCAGCGTGAAAGTCCCCATCCCCCATTGTGTCCGTCGTAGTAGCAGTGGCCGCCGTGTAGTAATCACGCTCGTCAATCATCTCATCTGCATACACACACACACAGACACACAGAGAGAGAGAGAGAGAGATGTGTCCATCGCCCCCGGGCTCACTCACCTCACCTACTTCACCTCTGCGTCTTTTGCCTCCTCGTCTACGCCACGGTCTCTGCAGTACTCGCGGGCCGCGCTGCAGGCAGCCTCAAATTGAAGCTCTCCTCCTTGCTGCACTGGCTCCGTCCACCCACCGCCGTCAAGGCGCTGTCCTCCAGTAGTACTGCTTTGCAGTTGGCGATGCTCCTCGCTCTCTGAACCGAATCGCAGGCCAGACGAAGCCTGATGAGAAATGCGACAGACAACAGACACACATTACAGAGATGCAACATTCGGTACTGACACTGGGCGCAAGCCAATGTCGTCTATGGCCATCTGCTGCGTGTGCTTGACTTCACGATGCGTGAGTGCATGCGGGAAATGGGTTTCTTTGACTGTCTGCTGCTGATCTGACGTAATGGTGCTGCTCTCTAGCTCCTTTGTTTCGTCGTGTAATACCGCTGCGGTTTGCTGCATGTCGATCTATCCAGTGCATCGTGCAGCTTGATTCGACACTTAAATTTACTCCAAACAACCCTGAACCCCAACAACCCTTACCCTGCACATCCCATGCTCGAATCATGAAATCTCCCTTCCTCTCACTGGTTTGCCTGCATGCCATAAGCGGCGCCTTGAGAGCAGCTGCTGGCTCGTCCGGAGGTGCATCGGATGACATCGATGGCCGTGGCGAAGGCAGTGCTGCGATGGATCTGCTCAGCCAGGAGCTGCGTGAAGTGGAGACGCTCATCGAGCTGCACGAGAGAAAGAGGGGACTCCTGGAGAAAATGAGGACGGCACTGCTTGCAGGAGAACCGTAAGCCACAGCAACCCAGACATGGACAGCCAGACGGATTGATTGATGGATGTGATGCTTCCCGTGTGTGCAGGGTGGCCCTGCCTGCTGCGTACCGACGGTTGCTGCAAGACAAGGTCCCTCTGCTGGCAGAGGTGAGGAGTCAGTCAGGTGGGCGGAGAGGTGGACGGGATGGGCCATGTGCGCACACGTGTGTGTGTGTGTGCGCCAGATTAGCTTCGACGACGCCCATGCGCCGAGTCGCTCAGCTGAGGATCACATGATCGAACGAGCCGCCATACAGGTACATGTGCACCATACACACGAATCTGTGTGTCTGAGGACACCCCTCTGTGCATGCAGGCCAACTTCACGGTAGACTTCATCCGGTTCATCCCGGTGCGCTCGGCCAGGCCGCCAACAGCGGGGCCCAAAACCGACACAAGTATGTACGGACGTGACAGACGCGCCAGCACATCACACTCTCGGCTGACCAATCACCTGTGTGTGTGCGGGTGTGTGTGTCCTCAGCCCCTGGGGGCGTCCCCACCTCGTTGTTGGTGTGCGTGTCGCGCGAGGGCCATGTGGGCGTCTACATCCATGGCGGCGAGCTGACGGCATACACACAGATGGAGCCCTCACAGCCAATCAGACACGTGGCCGTGTCGACCTCCATTGAAGGTACCACGTCAAAGCGTCAAAGAGAGAGAGAACAGACACATGGATTGGCGGACGGTATGGTCTGTCTGTCTGTCCTGCGTGTGTGTGTGTGTGTGTGTGTGCAGATCAGCATTTGGTGGCATTGGGTGAGGGGGGTGAGGTGCTCGTGTACGCCATCAGGATCAGACACATCAAGCTGTCCAGAGAGGAGAAGAAAGGTGGGGTATCAGACACACACCGAACCACAACTCACAGAAGGCATGCACACGCCACTCTCGTTCTCTCCTCTCTGTGGGCGGACATCTGTGCTGCGCATGCAATACAGGTCGCAAGAGTTCCCACGATGAGAGGATATCTCTCAGTATGGGGCCGATGCTCAATGTCACACTGAAATTCGATGTCAAAGGAGAGGTCAGACAGAAACAAAAAACAGGCGAAGATAGCCCAACCTCACCATGCACCCTCCCTCCCTCCCTGCTTCTCAGTGGCCCCCGTCAGTGTCTGACGGCCTTCGCAACTCAACCGCACTCGCCTGCTACCAAAATCGGTGACGGAACGACCCACACCCACACAGACGGATGGTCGCATCGATGGGTGTGCTTCCTTTTCTCAGTGGCGTGCGCTACATCGTGATAGGCGACCGTGAGGGCGGCGTGAGTGTCCTGATGCGCAACACGACCTTCAAGGGCCGCGTGAGGGTGACTGAGGAGGAGGGGGGCGTCACGGGCCTCGCTGGCCACACCAACACGCTCTTCTTCCGCACACACACCATGTTCGGACCCTTCTCGCCGGCCATGCTCGACTCCAATGCGCCGCCATGCAACCCTGGGGTGAGTGGGGCGTACAGATGAAGACATGTTGGATCTGTGCATCTTTTCTCTCTCTCTCTCTCTGTGTGTGTGTGTGTGTGTGTCAGCTGTCATCCCCCATCCACGATATGGTGCTCGACGTGACTCACCCGTCCCGCCCCATTGTGAGCCTGGAGGACGGATCGGTGCTCGCTTTCGAAACCAAAGGGAAGGCATGCCTCGGTCAGCGATACATGGGAGAGAGAGAGAGAGAAGGAAGGGCCTGACGTGCACACCTAGGTGCCGCTTGTTTGCACGTGTGTCGTTGTCTCTGTCAGTTGAGTTCAAGTACCCCCAGGTGTCGTCGCGGCCGTTGCAGCTGTTCGCTATGCGTGGGTACACTCTCGCATTCGCTCAGCCTGACACCACCAGCGCCTCAGCCACCACCGCACAACCCGTGAGCAGACACACAGACACAGAGAGAGAGAGGGTATATGGGCAGTGTCTGAGTGACCAGTCGGCTGGCTGTGCCATTTCTTGACTGGGTCGGGCCGTTTTGTGGGTGTGCGTCCTGCAAACCCCCGGCCCTCACTGAGACAGGCCTACCTGGCTGCCCACAGAGAGAAGCCATGACAGGCAGACAGGCTCATAGTCCGGCATAAGGCAGTCTTTCCGCCCTTTTGTCGGCTCCAAGACTTGTCACATCCATCCATCCACCAACGTGTGTGTCGTGTGTGTGTGTTTGTTTGCAGGCCTCTCTGATCGCCTTCAACACGTCTGCGGCCGAGTCAAGATCAGGCGCACATGGCGTCACCTTCAGGAAGACCATCAGACAGCAGGTGACACATTGATATATGACTTTTCTTCCTCCCTGGCACTCATCCAGCCGACTGTCTATCGATCAGGTGCTCAATTTCGTCGGCTTCCGCAAGCCCGGCCAGATCGACGTGGTCGCCATGCAGACTAACGGTGCGTCACGTCGCTTGTGAGCTGGTGGATGCACAGGTGTGTGTCGGTGTGTGTGTGTGCGTGTGTGTCGGTGTGTGTGTGCAGCGACGAGTGTGGTTGTGTATGAGGTGGTGCTGACGCCGCCCCCGCCCCAGACGGACCTCTCGCCGTGGTTCACCAACCTCAGAATCCCCATGTGTGTGTGTGTGACGCACAGCACAGCACACACGACACGCTAGCCACGCAGAGAGGGCCGCGCATATTCCATCTGTGCATCCCGTCCGTCCGTCTGTCTGTGTGTGCATGTGTGTCAGCTTGTTGATAGCAGTGGTGGCGGTGTTTGTCTTCCAGTACTTCAAGGTGCAGAACCAGCGCACCAGCACCAGAATGAAGCACGACTCCAGATTTGACCGAGTGAGTCCGTCCGTGAGCATCCCCCTCCCCCCTCCCCCCTCACGACGGTATGATGCGATCAATGTGTGTCGGTGGGTCGATGGATGCAGGACCAGATGGAGGAGCTGCTCAGCCGGACGGCCTCCTACTCGTCAGCATCCCGCCGCGGGCGACTCGGCGGCGGCCAGCACCGCCAGTACCAGCAGAGGGGGCAGCACTACTACGACGATGAGCCGCAGGAGACCATGGGTGGCGTGATGGGTGGCGGGGAGGAGTCCGGCCACAACGAATTCGAACGAGAACTGAGGGGTCAGTAAATGGGCAGGTGGTGGATGGAAAGGTTGGCATGGTGACATGCACACACGAAATGTGTGCTCTGTGTGTGTGTGTGATGTGTGATGATGCAGCGCGTCACCATGTGCATCGAGACGATGGCGGTGGAGGTCTGGGTGTGGGGATGGGTGCTGGGATCGGCGGGCGGCACACCTCTGACACGGTCTACGGGAGTGAGCATGAGGCGTACGACTGACTCACTGCCTCATGGGTGGACGGATGGATTGATGGATGGATGGATGGCTGGATGAATGGGCAGAAGAGGGAGAGACGCATGGTGGTGGGGGTGAGGTGACTAGGCGGCCACTGACTAGGCGAGACGCGTGTGTGCGGTGGTACATCCATCATGGCCGCGTTTATCGGTATGTGCAGGTACAGTGAGTACTGAGACGGACACACCATGGCTACGACCCCTTGATTGAAAGCTCACGTTGATCTTGTGCTCGGTCTTATCTGCGGTCTAACATGGGCGTCTGGGAGCCGGCCATGGTCGTGTCGTCTGTCTGTCTGGGCTTCCCCTGACAGACCAACAGACCGTCCCCCACGCAAGCACGATGCACACGACATGGCAAGGCCCGATGGATGGAAAAACACTGCCATCCATCCATCCACCCACCCACACACGTGCACCTGAATTGCCCTTGCCCCGTTAAGCAACCCCAAACCCCATTCTACGCCACTGCTTGTCCCTTCCTCCATCCCTCTCCACCGCCGTCCATCAATGTGTGTGCTAATCAAAGGCTGCACACAGCAGATAAGGAGAGCGACGGGATTCCGCGCATTCAATTTTCTGTATCTGTCTGTGTGTGTGTGTGTGTGCATACCTAATTAGTCGATACTTATTGACATGGCTACGATCTGATCTAGTTGTGGCCGCCCTGCGCCTCGGCCGTCTCAGACCCCAATCCCCCATCTGCCACCATTGCCACCGCACACACACACACACATGTATATGTGTCACATGTGGCGCGCAGCTGCTCGCACCGGACCGACCGCTATGTGTTGGGTATATCTCTCGCAGATGCATGGCCTGCTCGAAGGCCCGCTGGACATTGGCCGGTGTGGTTGGGTCGGGCACCATGGCGCTGGCGATGGGCGTGCTGCCGTGGTGGACCTCGAAGCGACAGGGCCCCGTCCGCCAGGTGATCGTCAGGGGGCCGGTGCTAATCTTGCGCATGTGGGTGGCCAGGAGGCTCTGTGCATGGGCTGTGAGGATAGCTGTGTCGACGGGATGGTGGACGGGGGAGAAGTCATCGCTACCTGAGAAGAAAAGCAGAGTTGAGAAGGGCATGCATGAGCGTGTCTGTGTGGGTGTGTAGGTGTGTGGGCGTGTAGGTACATACCGGTTGTGTGTGAGTCGTGGTTGAGGTTGAGGTTGTGGTGTCGTTTGTTGGCCTGCAGCAGCGCTCCGTCGCCCTCGCTCTCCCTCTCCCTCTCCCCTTGTCCCTCTCCCTCTCCCTGGCCCCCGCCGTGCAACATCTGGTCGATGTCACGCTTCCCACAGGTGTGTGTCGAGCTGCCGCTGCTCATGTGACCAACTGCAGTTCAAGCCATCCAACACACACACACACACACAACCAGATGCACTCTCCCTCTCTCCCTCCCTCTCTCTGTCCGGCCTGCACATGTTACGTACCAGTGCTATTAGTGGCCGCCGTGTACCCCACTTGCGCCCTGCGCTCATCCCGCCCCTTAAGCGCCTCGCCGAACGCCTTTTGCACTCCCGCGTGTGTGGGCAGCTTGACGGGGTACTCGTCGGTCCGCGGCACCATCTCGCCGCCATGCAGCTCCCGCCAGTGCACGTGGAAGACGTGTTTGAGGGTCTTGCCGTCGGAGCGGAAGGAGATGTGGAAGCCTTTGATGCGCCGGTTGTCGGGAGTCATAAGGCCCTCGACCTTTCGGCGCACATCGATGAGCTCGTTGGCCGCAAACACGATGCCGGTGTCGTCGAGCGAGTCGGCTGCACACACAGGGACGTACACACACATATGGAGAGGCGGAAAATGGGCTGAGGGTGCTTGGTGGCTGACTCACGAGGAGGCGCTTTCGGCTGTGGGTGTGGATGTGGGTGGTGTTGTTCGTTGGTGGCTGGTGCTGGTGGTGGTGGTGGTGCGGATGAACTCGGCTCTGCTACTGACGCCTCCTGCTGAGCATCGGTCTCTGCACCAACGAACCCAACACACACACACACGACGCACAGAGAGGCAAATATGGGCCGAATGGGTGGGCGTGCCCATGTCACGTGTGTGATACCCATCCAAATGAAAGCACCTCACCTACCTTCTTTGGGCGGCTCTTTGGGCGGCTGTCTGTCGATCTCCCCCTGGCTGTCGCGGATCCACACCTCTGCACACACACACAAACAACACCAGAACACACACGGCTTAAAACATGATGCATGACGCGAGCCATGATGTCCTTACCGGGCGGCACTTTTTCCCCCGACAGCCAGCCATTCCCTCGACACTCCTCGCGGAATGCCATTGCCTGCGCGAAGGCCTCCCTCAGCTCGTCAGGCTCTCTCTTGGTCGGGCGGAAGTGACGCGACTTCCTCTCCACCTTGCCGGTGTCCATGGTCTTCTGGTAGCACACGGCGAACACCTGACGCGTCTCGGAGTAGTTGATGTGGAAGCCCGGCACACGCTTGGCCATGCCCCCGACCCTGCACAGCAGCCCCTCCCTGTGCCGCTGCTCGTCGATCATGCGGTTGGCCAGCGCGCTGAGCATGGCCTTGTTGCCCGGGTGGGTCTCGCGCTTGACTTTGCCCCGGGGTCGGGCTGGCGCGTCCTCGGCAGACGGCTCGAAGTCCTCGTCATCGTCTGCGGCGCGACTGCTCTTCTCCTTGCCACCACCCGCCGCACCACCTGAGGAAGAGACCCACACAAGGCGCAAGACACACGGGGGATCGATGAATGGGTGACAGGGTGTGTCGTGTGGATGGCGCGTGGTACCGTTCTGGCGCACGACGCCATCCCGGTACTCCAGCGCCTGCCTGAAGGCGCTCTCCACCTCCTCGGCTGTCCGCGACGCCACCATGAACCGACGCCCACCACCACCAAAACCCACACCACTACCAGAACCCGATGCGGCTGACGACGACGCGGCAACGGCCTCCTGGTCGGCGGGCTGCTCGTTGACCACGAAGTAGGGCTGCTGGGTGACCCCACAGAAGGCGAAATCTATGCCGAACCCGGGACGGTGCCGGCCACGGGACGTCAGCAGACCTGACAGAGAAAGGGAGAGAGGGATGGTGGTGCGTGTGGGTGTGGGTGTGGGTGTGTGGCGGGGGTTGTGAGTGATGGTGAGAGAGGTAGAGGTGTGCTGCACGTACGTACCTTCCTGCTGTCGTTGCTGGTCCATGAGGCGCTCCGCCATCCCGATGATGCGCGCGTCATCCATCTCCAAATCGCCACCTCCTATAGACCTATCACTCGGAGACTCTGCACACAAACAACCACACAACCACATCACGCCACATCACGCCACACCCAGAACGCACCGTGAGATCCCACCAGAACCATTGATTGATTGCATGAGTCTGTCTGCTGTCTGCTGCCTGTTGGTGCATGCACCCACCCATCTCTCCTTCCTCCTTGACAGCTACTGTTGCCTCCTCTCGACTGATCACCGCCCCCTTCACCACCGCCAGCCGCTTCTCGGATGATTGCGGGTGCTTCAGGGTCGAGTGGCATGTGTCAGACGCCCGTATCCGCTGCACGAGTGACTTCTTGACATGCCGGATGGCTTGGAGTTTGTCCTCGGCAGAGAGCGATGCGAACTGCGAGTACTCGAGGCCCGACGCACGGAGGAAGGCGCTGAAGAATGCGAGATCTGTGCTCATATGAGAGGATTGCCGCCCTCTCGCTCCGCTAGGCACCCTCCACGACGTCCCCCGGGGATGGAGAGGTGCATGCACGAGGGCGGGCGAGAATGGACGATGGGAAGGCGGGATGAGGCGGACCTGACAGCCCACAGGTACGCTGGAGACCGTGGACCGTGAGACTAACCTCTCTGACGACCAAGTTTACGGGCCTTTTCCGCCCCCGGACACTCAAATGGAGGGCATTGAGGCAGCTGGGGGAGCGCAGCAGGCCGCTGCTGCGGCGCAGGTAACGATTTGGGCGAGATCTCGCTGATTCATCCACCGCTTCCCCCCCACTGCTTGCCAATTGCCTGTCAGGCTGCGGCGCAGGCAGGGCTTGCCGAGCTCATGGACGATGCGTATCTTCAAGACAGCTCTGGCGACGATGATCATGACGGCGAGGAAGAGGACTTCGAAGGTGATCATGGAGAGGAGGAGGATGGCCGTCGGTTCCCTCGGTGGATGAGGAGGTGTACCGGTTCATCACCGAGTCCATGGCTGACAAGGACCTCCCGCCCTTCCTACCCATCTGCCCCATCACCATGGCAGTGCCTAAGGTCAGCTTTGACAGTTGAGACACTGAGATCAAGCACAGGGGATGGGTGTGTGGGTGTGGGTGTGGGTTCAAATTGTGTGCAGGTTCCCGTGTTGTCGACGACGCAGAACATCTACGAGCGGGAGGCGCTGGTGACGCACCTGCGGCTCAACCACAGATACAAATCGCCCACCAGCCGGAAACCACTCACACCAAACATGTACATTACACACACACCTCCCTCCCCATCACACCCATCCATTCACCGCACCTTTCTGTGTACTGTGTGGTTGTCAGGAAGGTTTCTGACCGCACGGCCATCTCGGTGATCGAGCAGTACGGCCGCAGTGAGATGGAGAAGAGACGGCGGGCTGAGGACGAGAAGCGCCGCAAGCGCAAGCGCGACGAGGCGCGCAAGGAGAGGGAGACGAAGGCGATGAAGGCGGTGAGGGGAGGCGGTGCGTTCGTGTCCATCGACCTGGCGGACAACGAAGACAGCGAAATGACCAAAGTGAGAGCGAGGGGGCGGGGTGCGGTTTGGCGTCCGGTGCGTGGTCCTACATATGCCGTTGTTTGTGAGTCAGAGTGCGCCCTCTCTCCCGCCGCCTCCGTCGAAGGTGGTGGGCAAGATCAACGACACCTGCCTGGACGGCCTCCTGCAGTACTGACGCACGCCCTCATACACACAACACACATGACATGGTGTGATGTGGCGCAGGTGTGTGTGTTGTGTTGTGCTGTGTTGTGTGAGCACAGGTGGGTGGGGTCGGTCGATAGCGGCCTGCCGACCAAAGGACAGGCGGCCGAGTTGAAGAGCATGCTACTCAAACACAACCTCGTGAGCTCACGCACCACACCACAGGCGTCTCATGTGTGTCTCTGTGTGGGTGGATTGTCTGTCTGTGTGTGCGCGTGTGTGTCAACAGAAGGGCGACGTGAGGCGTTGGGTGTCGGTGTGTGTTGGGGACAAGGAGTGGGAGAGCATCCACCCGTTGCTGCTGCTGCAGGCCATATCGGCCATGATCAGAGCAGCCACAGACAGACGCAAGAAAGCCAAACGACCCTCTGTTTAAGACACCCACCCACACCCACCCTCACACGATCGCACCAACCACACACACATCGTTGAGGACCGCCGCATCCTCACACAAACGTCGTGTTGTTGCGTGTAATGGGAAAGAGATGCCGCTGCGTGAGGTTGTTTGTGAGTGCTCGTCGTGTGGGTATGGTATGTACCATCGCTAATTGACGTGCACGTGTCCATCTGTCCGTCCGTCTGTCCGTCCGTCAGTCCGAACTTGGTATGTAACAGCTATACAGACATCCCATCGATGCACATTCCCATCAGTCAATTCCATCCATCCATCCATCCAATTCGGCCCCCACCTCCCACCCCACCTCGGGCCTGACTATGCATTTACGTAGGTAGGTATACCCATCCATCCATCCATCCGACCATCCATCCATCCATTCACTCTCACTCACTCATGCGATGGGTTCATTCCAACACGACACGTGTATGCCCCCACACCGCACCGACACGCACAGCACAGACGCAAACCCACCACACCACACCACAACACACCACACGAGCGACTCACGAGACGCATATTTGGATGGCTGATCGCTCCTCCCTCCCTCCCTCCCTCCCTCCTCCTTTCAAGCTTCCCATCCCATCCGTCGGCGGCCCTTTGCCTCTCCTTCCCTCTCTCTCTCTCTCCGCCCACCCACTCCGCTTCTATGGCTGCACACACAATGTACACACACTACGTATGTGCCCTATGGCTGGGCTGAGGACGGACGGCAGAAAACAAGAAAACGGGCCGCCCAGCCACGTGGGCTGTGCTGTGTGTGGTGTGTTGTGGCGTGGTGTGGTGTGTTGTGGTGCGATGCGATCGATGTGATGCATTAGATATATATAATTGTCCTCTGCGATTTAGTGCCATCTATCTATCGTCGTATGTACACACCAACACAGCAGACAGAGGGCATAATCACATACACACATACACACAGACACACATGAGACAGACACACACGTGAATGCGGTCGACCATGCCAGCCAGTTCGAGTCAGGGAGTTACGGAGAGAGAGAGTGAGTACGCGGCAGTATTGGCTGCCGAATTATACAGACGTGACGTACATACATACCCATACACACACAACATCCACACGAATGAGCTGTAAATGAATGCATTCATCAATGCCTCACGCGCACACATTTCCCATTTCAGCCGCTCATCTCGTATACCCCGGTTCGCTCACGCGACCGGCACCATCTCGCCTGTACACACACACACACACACACAGACAGAGAGAGAGAGAAAGAGAGAGAGTCAGGTACGAGCAGTGTGTGTATTCTTCCTGTGTGTGGTATGTGCGCGCACCCATTTCATACTCGGGCACGGGCGTGTTGTCATCCGCTTTGTGTGGGAGGGTCTCTATCAAACAAAGCAAAGAACCAAGACTCCTGGCTGGCTGGCATGCTTCCGTCTGTCTGTCTGTCTGTCCGTCCGTCTGTGTGTCCGTGCATCCACCAACCCACCGTGGATGGCCCCGATGTCCATTTCCTCCTGGGGCGTCTTGTCGTCACTCGGCGTGTCGTCAGCCCCATCATCGCCCCCAAACCGCGCCACCTGGTGGTGGGCGTGCACCAACAGGCTGCCACCACCTGACACACCAACCACAGACACAACCCACACGCACAGCCCATGGTTCCTCTGACACCACACACGACGGACCATGCACTGCACAGACCCACAACGCACCGGTGATGGTCATGTTAGTGTCGTTGGGTGTGCCGGGCAGCGACCCCTCCTGTCTGCATCGGTTGCGGAAGACTATGGCCAGCTCGAGTGCCTCACGGATGCCCTCGTAAGTGTGCCGGTCGGTGCGAAAGAATTTCGACCGGCGGCCCCGATCTCGCTGCTGCCAGTACACCTGCAATCCAATCCAACGGATGGATGCACACACACATGCCGTGCGCATACGCATGGGCGTGCTCATGTCATGGGTCATGGGAATCCCTCTCTGTGTGTGGCTGTGCTGTGGGTGACAGGCGTACCGCGAAGCAGCGGTACTTGGTCGTCCAGTTGACCTGAAACCCCTGCACACAACACACAACACAACACAGCACAGCACAGCACAGGTATACGCACCTTTCATTCGTTCATGTGGCTGGCTCGGCTTGTGTCGTGTGGTGTGTGAGAGGGTGGGTGTCCTGTCCCACCATACCTTGATGCGGTTGCCATTGGGTCCAAGCAGCCCCTCCCTCTGCCTGAACTCGTCGATGAGCGCGTTGGCCACACCGCTGATGTCGCGCTTGGCCACAAGCATCTCATTCGCCCCCACACCAGCACCAGCAACCCCCCCCATAAACACATCTCCTTCGTCAGTGTCACCGTCCTCGTCTGCCCACACACAGGGAGGGAGGGAGGGAGGGAGAAACAATGTGGTCTGTGTGTGGCGGTAATGGTGGTGGTGGTGGTGGTGGGGGGTTTGTCCCATACCTGCTTGTTGTTGGGTGTGAGGGCGTCGGTCAGAAGGCAGGCACGGCAACGCAACAAACGCTGATGGGATCCGATCCAACACACCAACATCCAACACAGCACAAGACATCAAGGGGGATGCAACCACACAACGCCATGTGTGTCCCTCTCTCCCTCCCTGCCTGCCTGCCTGCCTGCCTCACGCACCATTTTGGGCGTTGTGTTGCCCACCATCCGCCATGTGGTCCTTGCCGCTGTCGTTGTGTGCCTTGTCGGCCTCCACGCTCACCGCCCCTTCACTGACCGCATTTGACACCTGCTTGCAAACCGACACGGGCATCGGCTGCGTCCCATGCACCACCATCTCGCACACCGCCTTCTTCTTGGCCATCACGTCTATGTGGCTGTGCCTGTCGGCCACACGCTTGCGCTCTTTGCTCTTGCGGGGCGGCCCTTTGCGGCCAGCCCCCGCCGCTGCTGCTGTTGGTGCTGTAATAGTGGCGGCGTGTGTCCGCGGCTGTGGCTGTTGCGGCGTCTGTGTGTGTGGGAGAGTGCGGCCGAGTATCTCGAATCGCTTGGCGACGATCATGCGGTGCTTGGCTTGTGGGCTGAGGCACGACCACTGCTTCTCGGAGATGTCCCACTGCACCGCGCAACACACCACACACCACACACACATGCATCAAAGACGGAACGGCTGTGTGTGTATGTCTGTCTCTCTCCCTCCCTGACCTCCTGCAGAAGCTTGCTGAAAGGGTCCATCGCGTCCGTCTGCTGCTGCCGCACTGCTGACCTCACTCACTGCCTGCCTCGTGGGAAGCCACTCACTCAGTCTGGCTGGCGGACAGTCACCAGACACCAAGACGCGCCGGGAGAGAGAGGAAGGGCGAATGCAGAAAACCACGCAGCGTGGGATAGCGAGTAAAGCACCAAAGAGGCTCTTGGAAGTCACGTTTTCTGATCTGTCCCACACGATCCTCAACGCTTTGACCTCCTCCCCTCAACGCTTCACCACCGAAATAACGCTCCTTCGACGTCAAGGGGCTCGACGGATGGATCTCCCTCTTGCATGATGCTCTGCATCACCTCCTCGTCTCCCTCCCTCCTCACTCCGTCTCTCGCGAGCTAAGAAATTTGTAATCATCGCCCTAGCTTGCAGACGCACCACTGCGTGAACTCATGTGCGGACGGAAGTGCGCGTGAAGCCGCCTCGCAGTGAACTGAAGAGACGGATCAGGGAGCGGCCTCTCACCATACAGCCGTCATCCGGGCCAAGGCGATCCTGGCAGCCAATGAAAGTCCTGGCTGCCAACCAGAGATCTGGAAGGCTCTACAGGCAGCGAGAGGGCGAGAGGGTGACTTTAGCAGCGTCTGATCTGGCAAAGATGAGGTCTGTTATCGGTGCCGTGATGGTGGGCCTCTGTGTCGGCCTCAGCGCTGCGGCAGACACCGCCTTCGTCCCTCCCGCAGTCCGAGGCAACATCCTGCGCACCCCACCCACTCGGCTGGACGCCAAGACCACCCTCACGCCCGCAGAGTGCGGCATCACTGCTCCCAATGGTCTGGAGGTCGCCCCCGGCTACCCGCTGATCGGATCCTCAGCGCCTCTCGGATTTTTCGACCCCCTTGGCTTCACCAAGAACAAGAGCACGCAGGAGATCGCCCGTCTGCGCGAGTGTGAGCTCAAGCATGGCCGCCTGGCGATGTTCGCCGTCCTGGGGTGGATGACACAGACGGTCTTCCACCCCCTCTATGGCGGCAAGCTGAGCGCCGACCCTCTCAAGGCCATCACGGAGGTCCCCGCGCCAGGCATCATCCAGCTGCTCTTCTTCATCGGTTTCTTCGAGTACGTGACGATGAACTTGGTCAAGAAGTACCAGCGGGAGACCCCCGGCCGCATGGACCTGCCGGGCGACTACCTGGGGACCTACGGGTGGTACCAGGACATCGTGAGCACCCGACGGGCGGACGGCATTGACGACTTCCCCGTGACGGACAGCGGCGTGACGCCCGAGCAGTGGGTGGGGTACCAGACGAGGGAGCTCAACAACGGGCGGCTGGCGATGATGGCCATCGTGGGGCTGATCGTGCAGGACGTCCTCTTTGGCCAGTACGGCGACATCCTCTTCACACGACTCGCACCACAACTCAAGGTAGGTACCGTGGACCTATGCCACACACACAGACAGGCACACAGGCTGGGAATGGCCGGAGAGATAGATAAATGGAGCGTTGCTTGTTCTTGTGTGTGCAGGTGGTCAGCCCTTACTAAGGCATAAAGGCACGCGGATGGGAGAAGCACGTGCCTCATTCGATCAGGATGCGCTGTCCAGTCGAGGCAAACAAAGATGAAAAGAGGAAATTTTTGCTGGCTGATGTCTGAAGTGGCGGGGTTGTGTGGTTCGAGCAATGAAGCAGGCAGGCAGGTAGTCGATTTGAGTGCGTGTTTCCGTCCTTCTATCGCTCAGTGCGCCATCCTTTCTCCCTGCCAAAGGTCATCCTCCAGTGTAGTTGTCGCTGGCAACTCCTCGAGCACCACAGAGACGCCTGTAGTGTGAGGTGAGGTGCCGGTGGCGGGTGTGCTTTGGAAGGCCCTTGGCAAAGGCTGATCGCTGGCTGCACGTGTACAGTGTTTGGACCGGGGTGATAGAATTCGTGGGATGACTTGATAGATACGATGAAGCCGTCCGTCAAGAGAGAGTCCAAAAAAGTGTACTGGTGGGTGACCATGTGTCTAGATGGAGTCGCAGCCCCCTTCTCACTCTCACCACACACACGCACACACACACACGGATAGTATCCCCCCACGCGCTCTCATTCGCTCACGTGACATGACTGACTGACATGCAGCCGCTTCGTTTGTCTGTTATGGAACGAACGAGTGGACAAATAGCCCCGAGACGTCGCGTTACGTACACACTGACGTGCTGTGCTCTCTCCTGACGAGAGTGTTTGTGTGATTGTGATTGTGATCGTGTGTTGCCTGCAGAGCAGAGCTCCCGCCCTGCCGCACACCAGCCAGCTGAAAAAAGGTACACACACACTTGGACAGACAAAGAGGCATACCGAAGACAGACGGAGGCAGGAAGATAAATCTGATGGAGGGATGAACGCGTGGACGCATCGGTCGTCCTCGCATCATAGACATAGACATAGACAGACAGAGGCGTATATCTGATCCACGGTGTGTCAGTCGCCCCAGATGCGCTTCACCCGAAGGCGTCCGACACTGGCGACAAAGAGACAGATAGACAGACAGACAGATACACAGACAGACCTCAGCTCATTCACTCTCTCAGCTCTCTCATGCTCGCAATGCCGTCAGCTCTCTCGGCCTTAAACCCGCCCGCCCCGCCCACCCAGCGATCGGATGCAGTGATCAATCAATGCAAGTAGGTACACCACACGAACGAATACTCACAGAATTTGGGCAATGCATGAACCAACGCATCGCATGCACACGAATTGGCCCAGCCACCCACACCACCAACCAGCCAACTAACCACACCTCAAGCTCTCCGACTGACGAGGGAAGAGTTGGAAAAATCGAAAAATGCCCCCTCCCCCCACCCCCTGCGCGTTGCTCAAACAAAAACACCACACCCACAGAACGTTCCCGATCGGCCGCCTTATCGACCTGTTGGTTGTCCACCAGGCGGACAACGCTTACACAGCGTGAGGTGAAAAACAGCATGATAGCTCATCTTCCGAGTGCTTCCCTCCCTCCCCTCCCCTCCGTCCTAGACAGATATGAATGCGTCAGGTCACTCACGATTGATTATGCGTTTCCGAGACGGAGTGAGAGAAGCGAACGAGGTATCGCATCCAACACTCCCCCGCGATGTTCCCCGACTCTCCCCCGCGCTCTCTCTCTGTGGCCGCACGGCAGCAAAACCGGTGGCCGCCCACACACACAGACACAGCCAGATGCACGCAGCACAGCACGCCACAGGACAGCACAGAACACACTCAGACACCCAGACACTCACACACATACAATATTGCCTGGTTGCGTCAGGTCATTTGGTGGCAAGAAGCGCCACGTCAGATCGCTCGGGGGTCGGGATGGCCGTGCTGATGCTCTCGCCGCTCTCAAAGTGCGGACACCCGAAGCCTTCCTTCCCTGCACACACACACACACACACACACACGGATGGATGTGTGTGTGTGTCTTCGGCTGTTGTGTCATGTTTCCTCCACACCACACACACCTTCGTAAGAATCGGGGCTTGGTTGCGTAGTGGCCTGTGTGGTGGAGGGTGTCATGAGTCTGTCGAGGACAATCTTGTCGATGTTCATGCCGGGCGCCTCCACGAAGAGAAAGCAGAAGGTCGCTATGGCGAAGCCCAGCACCATGAAGGCCGGGTAGTACACGGCCATCAGACCTGTACATCACACACACACGCATCGCATTTGGTCAAAAGGGAGGGATAGCAAGGGAGCCTGTGTCACCGTCATAGTAGTAATCCTGATCTCGCCTCGAGAAGAACCAGACGGCCATGAGCGGCAAATGGATCATGTAGAACGCATAGGTCAGCCGGGCCAGCGGCACAAACACGGGCAAAGACAGCAGCCGGTTGGTCCAGGGCGCATACACGCCGTCCTTGTCCGCGGCGCAGCACACCACCAGCCACAGCAGACACAGCCCCCACACAGAACGCGCGAACGTGTTATAGAGCATGGTCTCCAGGGGGGTCCACGGGACGGCGCCGGCCTTGTTGGCGTCATATTGGATGAAGATGACGAAGAGCATCACAGCACCACACAGCAGATGGCACGCCCACCGGCCGAAGCGGGTCATCCCGGCGAGAAACACGCGAACAGCTCTCCCGTGCTCAAGCACCAAGAGGCCGCCGGCCTGACAACCACAGAGAGAGAGGGGGAGAAATGGGTGCAAGGACGGTGTGTCTGTCTGTTGGTTGATAGCTGACCATGCCGACGAGGTATGGCCCGATTCTGCACCAAGGCTTCTCATAATAAAGATACTCCTGGTGCTGGCCTGGCTCCAGGATCATGGGCATCACGGCCACCTTCCACCCGTGGATGAGGTTCAGGGAGCCTGTGGTGACCCAGCTGGCAACGAGGAGAAGGCCCATGCAGCACCAGCTGAGGCGCTTCGAGTACCTGTAGACCAGCCAGCCGACAAACACGCAATGTGTGTGTGTGTGTGGGGGGGGGGGGGGG